TAAGCAAAATCACTCTCTTTTAATCTACAGAAGACTACTATATATCTATTATAACTTTTTTACTATACTACAATTGGAGACTACTAATTTAATAATATTCTCTCATAGAAGAAAAAAAAAGAAAAAAAATTTTTTAAGGAAAGAGAAATAGGATAATATATAAAAGAAAGATAAAGAAGAGTGAAAATAAAATCAGAACAAAAAGATAAAAGAAAGAAAATCATGAGTAAAAATTAAAGATACTATATGCAAAAAATATACTACTCTAGAGTATATACTATATATATAGGAGAAAGTAAAACAAAAGTGGCTATAATTGACTATATAACTGCATAGCAGAAATACTGTCTGTAGTAAAAATTATAAATAGTATCAATATATATACTATTTATCTCATATTAACTCTAATCTATTTTTATATCTATAATATGATATATACATGACTAGCTAAAATTATATATATTGTTTTGATATTATCATTATTCTAATACATAATCTGTTCTAATTAGAATGTAGTACTATTATTAATCCTTTGTCAGGAGTAAGCTAATTCTCTACTTTTCCTTAGCAAAAAGCAAAATACATATTTGTTTGAGTTGGTTAAAGGATCTAGTAAGGTTGCTACAAAAACTGTCTACAGAATAAATGAGAGATATAGTGTCTGTTTTAGTATAGAATACTATTGGTTTAAACTCTTTTTTCTGCTTAACTTCTTTTCATATCTTTACTTCTTGACTTGAATATTCTATAAAGTAAACTTTTAGCTAAAATCTTAATTTTGTTATCTGCTAAGTCTTTCTGCCTCTTATTATTTTGTAGGTCTTACTAGGCTGTGCAACTCATGTTTCTATTTAATACTAAAATTTTACTGAGTTTCCTTAAGTTTTTAAGTTATTTTATATATTGAAGTCTTTGCTCTGTATTAGCTTAGTTAATCAGCAGATTAAATATACTTATATACAATTATAAATATTTAATAAAATTTTATAACTATTATAATATTTTTTTAATTACAAAATAAAATTAGTAGATACTTTATAAAGCAAGTATTTTTGTTTTTTTTTGCTTTATTTAATATCTTATTATTTATTTAATATATATTATTTATAAAAAATTATATAATTTAATATAGATATATTGTAATATATTTATCTAATTAACTAATTATAATTCAAAATTAGGTATAATATAAAAATTAAAACAACAAAAAAACTCTTTTCTACACTCTACCAAAATAAAATAAATAATAGAGAAATAGTTTTTTTATCAACAAAACATAATAACAAAATAATTAATTAATTAACTAAAAGATAACCAGGTATTTATCAAGGGACAGAACAACACAAAGATTAAGAGAAGGAAGACATACATGACTACTTCAACAAACTTGTTGCTGACCATATCAGCAACAAATAACACTGATGCTATTATACCTATAGACAGTAAAATGGATATATATATAGAACTAAGTAATATAGACATAGAACTGAAGAATCATACTTCAAAGAGAATCAAGAGAAGCAATACAAATCTCTTTATAAGTCAGTCTAATACTCTATAATATTTACTCTTGTCAACTTCAAAAAGTGGCGATTGCTTATTACCTCTAACAAAACAAAAAATAACATCATCACAAGCTACAATCACAATAGATTAAAATATTCCCATACCCCAACACAATACCTCAGACCATGTAAAAAAAAATCTATACTTAATCAACATAGCAACAGATGATAATATAGCAATAGATACGAACCTTCTAGAAGTTGCTATAACAGACTATATCACTGATAAAGTTGAAAGCATGGAATTAGAGATACAATCTAATGACACTATCTCTCTGTCTTCTCATAGCTTATCCTTAACTAATCTTATATATAGCTTAGCACTTAGAGCTAATATAGTTGACACACCAAATGTTAGAAATATTTCAGAGATATAGTATAACCAGATTATGATAGCTTTACAAAACAAGCTTGAACAAACCTTCGATATTCAAATCTGATACTTTCAAAAAATCATAGATACTTTCATATCACATAAGGCACTAGAGATATTTTTGCAATACAAGATGACAACTAAACTAACTAATATAGTAATACCTATAGCAATCACACTAAAATTTAGTATTGAGATATAGCCTTCTTTAAAACTTTTACTCGCAATAAAGCAACTGAACCACAACACCAAACAGAGTTCAATTGACTATTAATTGCTGTACTAGAAAAATATAAAAAACAACATGATATCTTACTTATCAACAAATATAATAGGAATTAAATATTCCAAATACTCAAACAAAAATTAGTGATTGACAATATTTGAAACATAAATATTCAGCTTATTAGTTTCTATGAAGCAACACAAATTTTATTTTACTATATTCACTTTGCACAAATACTATGTGAAATATTATTTGAACAAATATGCTCAATAATTCAAAATATTGTTGCAAACTAACTTCAACCACTACTAATTTCACCTGATCTTATACCTGAAGATATCAATAAAATTATTCCTTTCAGTCTACCTATCATAGACTATAGGCAAACAGGATCAATTGTGGCATCACTTAGGAAAATTTTTACTTTTACAATACTGCTAGATACTTATTTCTATGACACATGTATAGAACTGCTAGAAGATCTATTGAAGCTAGATGAATTAGTTAGAGAAATATTTCCTATTACTGATCAGTCACAATTAGCAAGACTTAGATACTACAAAAAAAAAACTAAATATGCAATATAAATATAGATATATACTGGCATCATACTTTGACTTGTCACTATGTAAATCTGAATTACCTCTTATATCTCAGGAATTAAAGTCTATGCTAAGGAATAATTTTCTATTCCAACCCAAAGATACTAGTGATTTTAGGCAATATGTAGACTTACTATAGAAACACTACTAATTTAAAAGAATATCAAATAATTATATCATAGCCAAAAGATACCTGCCAACTGATCCAAACACAGTAAACACACAGAGAAAATATATATTTCTAATAACAGATACCACTACTGCAAAAAGATTTCTTACTGAAATCAAATATACATATCATATTCTAATGCCATTTCCACTTGTTTATATAACAGTTAACCTAACAGAGAAACCTGATTCGCTATAGGATCCAAGATAAGTAGAAAATATTAGTATTAATATAACAATTACTACTCCTAAAGTATTAACTAAAATAGCAAGAGTACTTTATCAGTATTACTATTTTCACAAAATACTAGAGACATAGATACAGATTCCAAATGAAGAAAGTAAAATCAAACTTCTAATATCTATAGAAGATTTTAATATTTATATGGGACCCCTATAGCAAAAGGTGGCAATATGCAAAAAAAAATTTTTTTATTTTAATCAATTTCTTGAAGAATTAGGTTAATAGGAATTTAGTTTTTATAATATTACAGAATTAAAATTTTTGTCACATTGCTACCTTTTGCTGTGGAGGTCTCTATATAAGCAACCAAAATAAGGAAACCTGAGTATTATTCCCAGTTGACTCACATAAAAAACTACCTCAAGCTATTGCATTTTTATTAGAACATTTTAACACTACTGTACTACCTACATATCTTAACAGACTTCCTGACTTACCTACACTACTTTGAAATCTATTTGATGGAGACAACATCAATGAACAATATTATGAATAACTAAGACTCAACTATACTAAACTTATATACTAAAAGAAATAAACATATCACTAATACAACTAACCTACAAGCTAATAATCAATTTACAAACAAACTAAGCCTATATATCAATGCTAACGAACAATTTACCAATCTAAAAATAGCAGTATACAATATATAGGGTATTAATATGATACTAAAAAAAAATTTATAGTTAGAATATTGTGATAGACAAAACTATCATATAGTTATTATGATAGAGACAAAACTTACTGAATCTTAGAATCTTAAGAGAGCTCTAATTAACCTAATACATAAGATATATATATTATATATAATAACAAGTCAAGCAAAAACAAGAGAATTAGCTCTCAGTACAGCAATAGCAATCAGACATTACTTATAACATTATATACATGATATACAAACAATACCAGGTACTACAATATATATAGATTTCTTCTTTCTACAAAATAACAGAACTAGAATTATTGCAGTTTATCTACTAAGCAACAATAGCAATTTATCCAAACAAACACAGCACAAAATAGCTAGCTAGATAAACTTTAGCAAAGCTAGATCAATGAATATCTTAGTTCTCAGAGACTTCAATAGTCATATAGATCGAAAAGATAGTAATAATACAATATCTCTGTTTAAAACTATAGAAGTCAACAATTTGATCAGCATGTTGCAACTCAACAAAATTTCAGAAGCAACATGGAGAAGAGATTAGTTATCATTACAAATCATTGATATATAGGTATCAGTACAAATAGCTAATAAATGTAATATTTAATAATAGAACTATTTATTCTAGCTACTAATAGTGATTATGCAAACTTAATATTAGAATAGCAGATAGTTGATTCAGTACCAGTAATTCAACAGAAGAAACAAACTAAAAAAGTATTCACATATCACAAAATGACAGAAGATATGTAGCAACAATTTTCAGACAAGATAGAAACCAAAATAAATCAGCGAATTACTTGTCAGATTGAAGATGAATAAACACTTAACTATGTCTAGCATCAATTCAATGTAATTATCAAAGAAATAGCAAATAGAACTATTCCTAGCACTAAACAGCAACTATCTAAGTATCAATCTTATACTCATAAGGCAACCATATTGTATCGCACATTGACCAAAGTTAACAAAGTTATTAAACTAGTTATGATGATGAAGCTACCATAGTCAATTGAATAGATGATTCAAAAAATTAACAAATCTTTACAGTCAATTTCAGAAATATTACAAGATGAATCAATTGAGATTAGAGCAGAAAATTTGGAATACAGACAAATTGATAATACAGTAAAGCTGCTTAAAAATATAAAAAAAATGATTCATATAGCTAGAAATACAGAAAATCTAAGTGAAATTAGAGAGCAAATTCATACTGCAGTAGCAAAAAGATATAATAATTTCCAAACTAATATTAAAAAGATAATTAACAGTATACTTGGAAGACATACTGATGCAGTCATACTTAATAACATAACAACTTTATTTGATATAATTATTGACATGACTGAAATTAAAGAAGTTAGCAGATATTATTCAAACTGGACAAAACTTAACCCAACTGAACAGACCCAATGGCCAGAATGGAAACAGTTCTATAAACTATTAGATACAATTAATAACAAATGGTATATACTATACTTCTGTAATTCTTATGAAAACTATTAATCGAATGTGAAGCTCTGTGGTAAAATCTATGTGAAGTACAAGATTCTAGAAAAAGAATTTCTGGAAGGAGATCGATATTATAGAGTAAATTGGCATTATGTGTGACAGTTAGTATCACAGAAGGTTCCATTACACAAGTGTTACACAAATAAGTCCTCGAAGGGTTAGGCAGCACCAACATCCCCAGCAGTTAGGAACTTGCTTGGAAGGGTAACATGAAGGTAATATGAACTAGAGTAATAAGTGAAGTGGTAAATATAATAGAAATCTGTGGTAAAGGATTGTTCTGACTAGATGTAGAACATCTCTGGTATATGTGAAAGTTAGAATTGGAAGGTTCCAGTTCTGTAGAGAGTTGGTTACTATCTAGAGTATGTGTAATAACCTGAATTGGCAAGAAGTACTGAGCTAGTAGTGCAATCGTATATTCAAGTACAAGGGCATACTAATATTAAACACTAGCTAATGCAGAAGCAAGTTGGAAGTAGTACTACATATTACGAACCTAGTTGAGAGCAACTTTGTTGCAAAATATAGCCTGTACTCTACTAACATACAGGAGTATCCGGTATTGATAGTAGTAGTACATATAAATATAGTTGTATATTATAAATACTGCATACCCAGTTCTGCAGTAGTTGTATTAGTTGTGAGCCTAGATTGAGCATTGTAAGCTAATTAGGAGGTACATGGGTCTAGATAGCTAAACACCAAACAGGAAGTTTTCTGTGAGGATTATGATGCCTCATAAGATCCATGGTACCTATTTAGTAGTATCTCTGTAAAAATATGAGTAATGCGGTAAATACAGAAAAGGTGATCTAATAAGAATAGCTATAGCATAAACCCTAATTAAGATTATAGTAGATTAGTCACAATTTAGGTTAAGTATATCTCAAGAATAAATTAGTCCTAAGGTTGTACATAGATATTAAAACTAGTTGTAATCATTACTTGTAATAAATTATAATAAAAATTTAATAAAGTGTTCGGCCAAAGAGGTTGCTTGTAAAAAAAAAAAAAAAAAAAAGCGGTATATACTGTAATTCAATATAATTACTGAATATGAACTGATACAAACTATCAATAAGGCACTATTGCATAAAGCAACCACTGGTCAAATGAATTTATACCAGTATAATATTATGACCTATTAGCATAATGATATTCTGATTTGAGCCTGATTTTAAACAGATATTTGGTTTGAATAGGATATCTATCAGTAACAAATTAAATTTAAAAAAATTGATAGAGCTATCAGCATGCTGATAAAGCTATCGGCATACTGATATGACTATCATTTAAATATCAGTTTATTATGACATTTATATGATAGCTATATCAGCATGCCAATAGCTCTATTAATTTTTTTAAATCTGATTTGTTACTGAAAGATATCCTATTTAAGCCAAATATCTGTTTAAAATTAGGCTCATATCGGAATATTGATATGCTAATAGGTTACTAGTATAAATTCATTCAACTAGTGAACTGAGCCTTATGGAATATCAAACAAGATGATAAAGAGGTTACCAGTAAATACAATACAAGTCTTGCTATCAATTTTCAACTTCTGTTTAAGTTATAACATTATATCCAAACAGTAGAAACATAGTCTAGTATATTCTATATTAAAAAAGCCTATTTTCAAAAGGTTACTAATACAAACTAGACTTATCACGTTAATTGAATATACACACAAATTATTTACAAAAATTATAAATACAAGACTAATTAGAATATTAGACAAATATTCTATACTAGCACCACAAAATCATACTACACTTTCACATACATTAATAGCTAAACCTATCATAGACCTAACTTATATACTCGAAGATACAGTAACTAAAAATAAGAAATATTGAATTGTAACTCAAGATATATCAAAGCATACAATTCAATTTATCTACTACTATTATGGACAGCAATAAGAAGAATCAAATGTTCAAAAAACTTTATAACTCAACTTATGAGTATATTTCATAATTGACAAAACCAAGTGCTAACAAATCTAAGAAAATCATCTATCTATGAAGTCTAGAATGGAATAGATTAAGAGGAGATGATATCACCTATTCTATTGCAAATATACTATGATCCTCTTATTTCATAAATAGCCAGAGAACACAAAGGTTATATATTAGAAATTTCAACTCCTGAACCAAATAGCTAAATATTCTTCTCTAATATATTAGTTATAGCTTTTATAGATAACACAATATGAGTAGCTGATTTAGCAACTATGATTTAAAAGATTCTTAATATTGCATCATCCTTCTACCAACTAGTTAATATTAAAGTCAATCCTCAAAAATCTGTATTGGCAACTAATTTAATAGATGCAAATACTAGTATTAGCTATAACAATACTATTCTATATAATATATCACTATAGCAAGTATTTTGTTTCCTTGAATGTTGGTTTTCACATATCGAGTCAAATCAATCTATATATCAAATAATTATAGAAGAAATAGAATTTGCTCTTAACAAGCTTAACAGGTCATATATAATAGACAAATAATATATATACATTGTTAATAGTATTATATGTACTAAATTAGTATACTATTGCCAAAACATAGTTATTTCAGATCATATTTGTAATAAACTAACAAAAAATATATTGCTAGAATTAAAAAAAAAGCAGAGCTAGCAAGATTGATTCCAAATTTGACAATAACATACTAAGAAATTTATAGAGTGAAACAAATCATAGATATACAAACTATACAACACATCAACCAAATAGTCAAAGCACTCAATGATTTATCTTTTCACAACTCATCACTTAAAATTAGACTTCAAGACTTACAAAACAATACTTTATCAAATCAGTCAATACTTACAAATACTCTTGTCTTTACTAAAAAAACTAGCAAAACACTAACTGCTAGTATAATAATAACAATTCATGCATAACAAATACAAATAGTTAATAATACCAACTCTTAGCCAATACTATTGGCAACACAGGATACAACTATCAACTGCATACTAGCTGAACAAAAGCTCAGTTCACTTATCAAAATATCACTAAATCATTATTCATTATCCTTTATTGAGCAATTTTTTAGTTATGACTTGTCACAATTCTTAACCTAGGAAAACTTAAAACATCAAATCCAAAAGGCAGTTACAGGTAGACAACCAAAATAGTTTAACCTAATACAACAATAGATAGAAGAAAGAACATATCTAATATTTAATATACAGACTCCTAATTCCTGTACAATTATACTATTCTCTAATAGAAAACTACCAAAATGGATAGTAACTAACTAACAAGTTATAGACAAACTCAAGTGCTATGATAATTACTTTATCATAGCTAGATACTAGATAGCAAATTCACAAAGCATCTTGAGTAGATGTACAGGATGTTCAATAAACCAAACTAACAAAAATAATAATGTATATTTACAATTCACAATAAGTATACTACAGAAATCGTAATAACAAAAAAAAGAAAGATTCTAAGCAATATGGAAGATATAAAGCATGGCTTCAAAATTAAACAAACAAAGCTTGCAAGAATACCACAAACACTATTTATAGTTAAAATATTTATGACCTTCTGAAAATTTATACAAAGCTTAGAAAATATTGATAAACTTTTATAGAATCGGTATCATTCAATACTAGCATAATCAGTATATAATATACAAATCTTAGGTCATATTCAAACACACAATAGACAATGTACATTTATTAGTAGTATATCTAGTCTATTAATATCTTAGTCTATTCAAATTTCAAGCACATGCTGGCCCTCATAGTTAAAAACATTTTTACTAACTATAGTAGCAATAGTATCAATTATTGTACCTAAATCATTGATTAATATAACTACAAACTATATTATATAACAAAATCTGTGAAATACTATTGAATCTAATGAACATACCTATCAACAACTATACCAATATAATTATTAGGTATTAATAACTGGAATTAAAGCTATGATTACAACTAAAGAAATACAAATAGTTATGACTTTCAACAAAGAAATACCCTATATATGTCAAAATATAATAGTATATAAAACTAAGCTCAATTGCTACAAATTTTTACATAGAAACTTTATTTCTACAATATTATATTAAATCATTACTCACAATACTAGGAGATTCTTATGATACTTAATTAATACAAGAAATCTAATATATTAGTATTCTCAGAATAGAATAGCATTACTTTTAATATCACAGTATATAATCAACTAGCAATAGACATATGATTATATAAATTATGAAAGCAGACTACTAGCATGTAGTACTAATATAGTAGCATCAAAACTTAAGACTTTTAAAGTTAAACTACTTACAAGTAAACTACTTACATTACTAAATCTTCACTATTGACATCTTGGCAAATACCAAAACCTGATATATCTAAGGTGTAAGAGAGATTTGGAAGACCAGATACACTAGTTGGTATGCAGAACAAACAATTATATAATACAACATGCTATATCTGAAACTTTAGATGATATAAAGAATAAACTCAATATTTCTAATGAGGATAAATAGAAATTTATTTATCAAATAATTAGTACAACTTGTGTAGCAACTAGACCTATAACTTCTAGCATAGTATTACAATGTAATATATTACCAACTCAATTATCTCTATTTGCTAAATTTACAACTGAGTTTATAAATATACTATCATAGAAAATATATACTAAAATATGGATACCTAGTAGAATTATAGTTAGTAGTAATATTATTAATCAAACAACAGAAGTAATAATTCCAACAGCTTCAAATCATAAACAGATAATACTGAATTTATATCAGTTAAGATATAATATCTGGTTGAACAAATTTATTACTTATAATACTTCACCTAAGGAGATAATATATTTAATCTAAGTAAGTTTGTGACCTTTCTTAGTAAAGTTTAGGTTGGGAGTAAATTAGCTCTAGCCTCCAAATTCTATTATATAGTAGAGTAGTTTAAAATATAGTTCATATTCATACTATATTTACTTAATAAAGAAAAAGAGAACAGACCTCGCTTTTTAAAAAAAAAAAAAAAAAATAATAATAATGATTAAACTATTAATTTATTAGTTTATTTTTAATTTAAGTCAAATTCATACAAGTCTATTGCCATTTCTTATTTCTATTAATTGTATACCTGATAATTTATATTTAATGCTTCGAATTGTTGATATATTACTTGAATGTTTTTTTTTGAACTAATGTATAATCTAATTGCTTTTGATACAAAAACAACAAATTCTAGTTCTATTCGAGAAAAAGTAGAATATATGATATAGGCTATTGGTGTTACTAGCTTTAAATTTCTCCTACTAGAAAAAAAGATAAAAACTGCAAAGTAAAGCTAGTGTATATTAATAGGACCAGCTAAGTTACTAATTATTAAAAAATTTTCTACTTTAAATTTTATTATTAGAAATCAGGGTAAAGATATTGAAAGCTTGTGGAGAAAATTTTATTCATTATATTGTATGATACAAAGTGATAGTTTAACAGAAGATAATATTAATCAGTTTGTACAAGATGCTCAGAAATGGGTTCAAGAATTTGCTAGACCAACTAAAAAAACATTAAATAAACAAATTACACAAGAAGGATTATATCAATGTACTGATATAACTCTCTACATACATGTTTTGGCATATCATATACCATTATTTATTCGAGATCTTTATCAGCAAAATCTTTGTTTATAATAGTTTACTATATCAAGTATTGAAAAAAAAAACCATGAACATATAAGTATTATTATTTTAAATTAAAATTACTTCTAAAATTAATTAATTTATTCTATTATGTACAGTTATTTTTTGGTGGAACTACTATAGGAGGAGAAGCTGGTAAAAGAAAAGAATCTGCTACATATCAAATTAGTAATTTTGAAAATCGACAAATATATTATAGAATAAATAAAATACCTACTAAATATACAAAAAAATTATTGAAAATATAAATCAAAATTATATAATTAAATATTTTTTAGCTTACTATTTGCTACGCTACAATAAATTTATTTAATTAATTCACTGTATTATTTTACAAATAATTAATTTGTTATTTCAACTGTTTCATGACATATTTCCAAAGTACATTTCAATATTCTATGAGATATATAATGCACTTTATTATCTACTTGTTTTGTAATTGATTTTTCTTGCCAAATAAATTCGATATTTTTTTCAACAAGATTACTATTTTTGTCTTTCTCTTAAACTAATACAAAGGTTTCACATCCATTTTCATTTTTTCTTTTTCCTCAAGATTTGCATCACAGTATCATTCCTATTTAGTTATATTCATTTTGTTCTTTGAAAATACAAAAATATCTTTGTAAAGATGGCTGATATGAAAACCCAGATTTATTTGAAAAAAAAATATTAAATAAACTTTTTGGAAAATTCCATTTAATATGTTTTAGCCCCTCATTTATTCGATAAAAGCCTAATTTACTATTAATATCTTGAAGAAGTACTGCGTGAAAATGATTAACAATTCCTTCAAATATTTTAGGTAAAGTTAGTAGTGTGGAACAATACAGTTTATATTATGTTTGGTATTTTCATGATAGCTTAATAATGATTTCATCGAGTATAAATTATTACAAAGGTGGCAAGGAAAAGGTTTAATAGGTGCCATTATATTAGCACGTAAAAAATTATTCCAATTTAAATATCATATGACTATCACTTTGTTATCACCTAATTTTAATAATCACAGCACTCCAACTAAAAATTTCCACCCATATAATATATAACTTGTACTTAGTAAATCATACAACTTATAGATCTCCCATATTTTGGTATATTATAAATTATAGAGAATTACTATTTCTACTATATTGATTTGCTAATCATATCAGATATAAATAATATGTAACTATAACTACTGCTGCAAAAAACTTTAATCCAAATTCTGGCTATAATAGAAATAGCAAATTGATATAGTAGAAAATAGTAGTTTCTTAAATTATATAAATTTATTAATACTGTATAAAATTATCTTGTACTGTATATGAGATAGAATAAACATTTTATATCATAATTCATAACTTCAAATATATACGTATCAGCAGGGTTGGCACATTTATCCATTGGGCTCAATGGAGTAAACCTCCATTGACATTGGTCCATTGCTCCATTGAGAATAATTTGTCAATGGAGCCAATGGAGTCCAACAAGATACTATATGTATTATAAATTATATAATAAGGTAAGAGTATTATGGCGCACATAAGTTTTACGGCCAATAATTTGTGATCCAATAATCAGAATAAGATAATTTTTATATCATTAGATTCGTC